GCGAGCAAAGGTTATTATGAACTGTATTCCGATAGGATTGATGCTAAATAGTCACACAGAAATAGCTAGTGTGCTAATTATTTTCATTTGATGATTTAGTATCACATCCGAATTTCATGTGATGTTTTTCCGTGTTGCAGAAGTAGTGTGGATTGCTGGATTTGATCGTTAGTAGAGGTGCAGACATAATAATTTTCGTTATTATAATAAGTATTCTATTTAACTTTGTCACACTGCTCGAAATCTAACACGTGTCTTTCACCCCTGGATCCTTTTGGTCACATGAATCCAATTGCTGCGGAGCGACTGAAACGAGTTTTCAATATTAAAATAGATATATTTAAAAAGACTAACTATAAAATAACATAATTAATAATTAAAAACTTCTCTGCAAAATAATTAAACACATATAATTTTACCTTGATAAAATGATGTAGTGTAATGATGTTTACTTTTGTAAGTTATCTCAGAATGTATTTGTTCAGTATTTTTTGGTAGTTTTTTAGACTCTGATAATTCTAATAAAATTTTTTCATCATTTTGCCATTTCGTAAGAATTTCACATATTGTTGTTGCTGTCGGTCGCTTTTTAGGTTCTTTTTCCCAACATTGCTTCATCAAATTTATATAACATTGTGGTGCATTACCGATAATAGATGGTCGCAAATCATTACAACAAATTTGTTGTTGAAGTTGTGGTCCAAATTTTTGATTATAATATACAGATTTTCCGTATAAAATTTCCCACATTATTATCCCAAATGAATAAATATCAGATTCTATATTGTACATATTTTTATCTAAAATTTCTGGAGATATATATGGCAAAATTCCGTAAATTTCATTATGTCCTGCTTTTGACGCTATATTAACTGATGTTGAAAGTCCCAAATCTGCAATGTATGCGCTGTATAAATTATCTTGTAAAATATTACCACTATGTAAGTCTCGATGGATAAGTTTTTGAGAATGCATTATTTGAAGATCAGATGCAATACAATGTAACAAAGTTAATTTATTTTTCCAATCCATTTGTGCTATAGCGCGAAGATTATCGCGTAGAGATCCCATTTGTGCATATTTTAAAACGAGAACATAATTGTTAGAGATATTGTCTTTTGATATCCCATAACATTTTAAAAATGAAGGATTTTTATGACTAATATCACAATATGCTTTTAGCTTTAAAAAGTAAAATGGTTAAGAATATGAAATATAAAAAAAAACATTTTAACAATTAGAACAAAATTCACCTCTTTAATAAGCCCATCACGACAAGATTTTGATCCGTGCAGTAATTTAAGCGCAACAGCTCTTCGTACATTTTGTTTTTTATCTAACCACTCAGCATAATATACTGTTGCAAATCCACCTTTACCTATTACTCTAATATTCTCAAATTCACTGTAAGGAATCCATAATAATGGGTATTGGTATTCAATCAATATTTCTTTTAAATTATCATCAATGTTTGAATATTCGTGTATCTGTTCATTTGTGACTAAAAAAAGACTTCATTATTGAATTATTTCAAACGTAAATACAATAATTCTTAAATACCTGATGTTTTGCTTTTTTCCCTATTTTGTCATTTAAATACTGCATGTTACATTTATTTATAAAAAAAATTATACAGACTAAGAAACGAAAATAAACGAAATAAATATTTACAATTGATACCAATAATTAGCTGCTTGTAAATCTCTTATAGTTCCAATTCCATTTCGATAACAATAACCAACTTGAGATATCCCAACTATATGCCCCTTATCAGCAGAGTTTTTATAATAATTAAATGCCTTATATTCATCCTTCGCAACTCCAATTCCGTATTGAAAACAATATCCAACTTGAAATATTCCAACAGAACAATCCATATCTGCAGATATTTTATAATAATAAAATGCCTTACATTCATCTTTTTCAACACCTATTCCATATTGATAGCAAAAACCAAGACTATATATTCCGTTAGCATTTTCCATTTCTGCGGATTTTTGATAATAAATAAATGCTTTATGTACATCCTTTTTGACCCCAATTCCATAAAAATAGCAATAACCAAGATTATATGTTCCACCAGCATGTCCCATATTCGTGGATTTTTGATGGTAAGTAAATGCTTTATATTCATCCTTTTCAATTCCAATTCCATAACGATAACAATATCCAAGTTCATTAGTTCCATTATTATTGCCCAAATCAGCAGACTTTTTATAATACCAAAATGCTTTGTGATCATCTTTTTTAACACCAATTCCATGTTGATAACAATAACCAACTTGAAATATTCCGTTAGAATCTTCCATATCGGCAGATTCTTGATAATACATGAATGCCTTATGTTCATCTTTTTCAACTCCAATCATATTTTGATAACAATAGCCAACTTGAAATATTCCAACAACATATCCCATATCTGCAGATTTTTGATAATACATGAATGCCTTATATTCATCAGGTATAACTCCAATCCCATTTTGATAACAATGGCCAACTTGAAATATGCCAACAACATATCCCATATCTGCTGATTTTTTATAATAATTGAATGCTTTATATTCATCTTTTTTAACTCCTATTCCGTGATGATAGCAATAACCAATTTGAAAATTTTCATAAATTAATGCCTTATAACAACAAAATATTTCTTTAATCCTACTAGGATTAAGAGATTTCTGATAATAAACGAATGTCTCATATATTTCTTCGACATTATTTATATAAGCCGATGTTTGATAAATAAATTCCTTATATTCTTTCTTTTTGATTCCAATTTTACAATAATACATTCTATCAGAATTATCCATTGCAAATTTTTGATAATAAATAAATGCTTTATGTTTATCGTCTTCGATTCTAATCCCACTTTTGTAATAATAACTGCCAAAATTTTGATAATAAATTAATAATGCTTTATATACATCCTTCTCAAATCCTATTTCGTATCGATAACAACAGTAAAATTGAAACATTCCATCCGAATGATCCACCTCGGTAGATACTTGATAATGAACAAATGCCTCATATCCGTTCTTTTCAATCCTTATTCCATAAAGATCATAACAGCCAAACCAATAAATCCCATCTGCGTACCTCATTTCAGTAGGTTTTTGATGGCTACCTTTTTCAATTCTAATCCTATAATAATAGCAGTTTCCAATTTCATTTCGACAATAATATTCAATCTGAAACACTATATAGGAATATCTTATAGCAGATTTTTGATAATAAATGAATATTTCGTTCTCTTTCTCGCCCTTTTTTGTTCCAATTCGATAATAATATCTATGACTATATGTTCCATCAATATTTATCACATTAGTAAATTTCTGATAATGAATAAATATCTTACAATTACCCTTTTCAACTACATAAGGGTAATGATTTCTAACATGAAAAGTCCCACGTATTTTAGAAACTTTCTTATAATAAAAGGGTACTTTATGTTCATTCTTTTCAGCTTCAATTCCATAATGATAATATTCAAAAGTATTAGTTCCGCTAGCATTTTCTATGTCAACAAATTTTCTACAATAAAGGAATGAAATACGCCTGTTCTTTTCGATTCTATCTCTAATTATTAGAATCGTCAACATATGTTTGATAAACTTTTTAAGCCGAAACTGAAATTCCACAAAGTCAGAGATTCCATAAATACCAAAATGACAATGACTAGTATGTCCCATTTGGAAAAATTTTGCTAACACGTAAATATCCTCGGCTAATGATATTTCCTATTATTGTGGCACAGAAGCATTTTACGATGAAAGAGACTTGACACTATCGCTATGATTCGTAAATCGGACTTATGACCAAAATTACCATATTGCTTTCTTATTTGTGTTATTTGTGCATGCAATACAACAATAAAATTCGATCCATTTCTAATTTCCTTATTTGGGAAACATGAAGACGACCAAAAAACTTGGCTAAGCCGATTTTTTCCATAATACTAGATCACCATATCAACATTGCAGGAATTATTACTGTATTATTTATGGAACTATTTATATGATAGACCATACAACACTGCATACAATACCCCTTAAAAAGTACCCCCTTTAAATAGTATCGGAGTACTGTTCAATTGTAGGTTCTAATATTCCGGTATTAATAAGTAGCTCGAATCAATGATATTGTTATATGATCAACCCATACGATTAATACTTTCCCCTTTGTATAGTATCCTCCTCCTCTTCACACACACCTCCGGCAATTAATTTATCTTGACATTTTGAAAAAGGCCGGATATTACGATAACAAAATGGTTCACTCGAATTACATTTTTCACATGTCCCTGATAGCTCAGCAGCCTATTTACAGTAATAATCGTCATGTTAATCAGTGCGATGTATTTAAAATAAGCAATTGAAGTTCAAATACCATTAGGAAAATTATATTTACAATTATTCGTATTATTTAAATCTGAAATAGTCAAATTCGCATGTATTTATATAAAAAACGATATATTTAAAATTGGGTTATAAATATATCATTTCAGTCGAAAGATTTTGAATCTGTCAGTGTACTCCTTTGTTAGCTACCTCATACTTATATGTAAGTATGTACTACTGTATCTGTTATATACGTCACTAATTACGGCTCAATTGCGATTTATTTTATAAACCAGGTTTTTATATGGGACGTAACTAAATGATGTCATAAGTCTGCATCTACATACGTATGTACGTTACGTGAGATGCGGTTATTTACATATTGTGGCAATAATTTTAATTTGAACTGCAAAATTCTAATATTAAGAAAATTTCGAATTGATTTTTGTTTTGTTTTCCTTGTATCGTCATGAATTTTTTTCCTTTTGCTTTTTATAAGAGAAATATATATATATACAGTTTTAACATAAAAATTGATTGGAACGGCCTAAATATGAAAAGGTAATAACAAAAAATCAAAAATACAATTAAATAAGAATTTTATACAAAATTCACAAATTTTTGAATAAAAAATATTATATATAACTGAAAGATACCAATTAATTACACGATAAAAAGTTGCATTATTTGAACTAGTACCAAAGAAACCCATCAAAATATACATTAAAAAAATTAAACTCGAATTTAAAAAATTAGTATCCATCCAAATACGAATATTAAAGACAGGTCTAACTCCAAAATCATAACCTTCAAATGTAAATCCCAAGTTGTAATTTATGAATCCAATTCTTGACTTATAGACATCGAATTCATTATTATCAAAACTATTATAATCTTCAGATCCAATTCCTGAATTTTCAGAACTATTTTCTAAATTATCATCGTGTCCATTTTCTTTTGATCTAATTCCTGAATTACAATTATTGATCCATTTGCTGAATTACCACAGTCTAAGTTACAAATGTTAGATCCATTTATTAGATTATGAATATCTAATCCATCTCCTAAATTATTACTTTCGGATCTATTTTTGGAATTTTCATATGCAACTTGAATGCCTGGAATGCCAAAATTTGGCATATTATTATCCGAAGGTATTTCAATATTAAACGGTTGATACTCGGATGAAGTAACACTTGGCTGGTAGTTAGGAATCTGAGGATATGTATTTAGGCGAGAAATTTGTGGTCTTCCATTTGAAGAGCCATCATAAATCAAAGGAAGCGATCCTGAACGAAATTTATTATGATAATTATTTAATGCAGGTAAGAAGAGTTCTTGTTCTTTAGGATCTGTGCAAATATCACCACCCATAATATTTTGCAGTTTATTGCAATTATCAACATTCTGATAATTTTGGATAGTTAATAATGTCTTCAAAGATTCTTGTTTGGCTTTCGACATGATTCGATTTTGGATTTTTTTATCTAATATTTCTGATAAAATTAGTTGACCTTGATACATTTATTTTTGTATCCATTTTTTTACTCTGAGCGAGAGGTCGATTTATAAATTATTACCTGTAATGCCGCTATGCATGTTTTTTTCCTTAAACAACAATTTACATATTGACCGATTTTTTTTCATAAAAAAAAAATTTAAAAGTCTGTTCATATTTTGTAGAACAGATTGACAGCTATTTATGGTTAATTGGAGATGTTAATTGTAGTTTTTAGATTATCCTTAATTGGGACCGTAATTATTGCCATATTCGTAAATCACTATATAAGGCGTTTTCTAACTGCGATAAGACTTGTTTACTTATTTGTACGTACTTCTTACGTGTGACACCAGAAACGATCGTCTGAAGTTAAAGCGAATTTGGGAATTACTTATTCTGCAAGTGTGACGAAAATTAAATAAACATTAATTTTATGCTTATTGTGTAAAATTTAACGGGTTGGGTTAGAGAAAAGCAAGGAACTTTTTTTTTTATTGTGTCAGTAAATCGAAGTGAATTTATATCACACCTGATTTTGTAATCTAAATCTAAAATTTCCTTTTGTATTCTTTCTAAAAATAAAAGGTAATTTTGATCTTCAAAGAAGGTAAAATACAAAATGGACTGTCAAATTTACTTTAGAAGTTAAAAATGCCGAGGAATCAATCTTATTTTTAATTTCTCGCTTTAAATCGACCTGAAAATAATTTTAATTAAAAAGATACTGATAGCATGGGTACATGACCTTAAAGTTCCTTTCTATTTTGACAAATAAGTACACACGGATAGTGTTATATGATTTGAGTGCTGCAAAGCGTAAACTTGTAATTGTGAGTTTCTGAAATCAATTTTACAGATCAACAATATATGTGTGTCTAATTTAAATTTATCAGGAGTCGGATCAGAAAGTGGAGCCGGCAAAAATCGAAATTACAGGTTTTCGCTTTACAGCAACAATTAACTATTAAAATGAAGATCAGAATCAGTGATCAAATGTAGATAAGTTTAGGAATCAGTTTCTTCTTTTCCCACTTTTCCTGCTTCATTAAGTTTATCGAATTTGTAATTCGATTGTCAATCGGTATAAATATCTTCGCAAGCTAGAACGAACTGATTATCTCATCATTAAACGAGCCTTTCTAAGTAAATAACCATTAATAAATTTGTCTTCCACTTTTAGTAAGGGTGAAACCCCGCAGAAGTTCGTATGTACGTACGTACGTACGTACGAACGTTATTGATGCAGATCACTATCTAAAATAGTGACTAAGCCAATTACGTGCGTACGTACGTACGTATGTTTATGCTTATGCTGTGATACGGTCTTTTAACTTGTTGTGACCCGTATTCCTATAAATAGAATTGCTAAAATTGGCTTTATATATATCGATATCTATATGTAATAAGGACAGTATCGATATTTTTTTACTAATATAAATATACCAATGAAAAGAGTCTGAACCGCTGAAATGGCCTATAGCAAATGTATAAATTATAAATTAATTTACTGTATATCCATTGTATATCCATTAAACAAATCACCCGACACTTGGCGTTGCCGCATTTCTATAAATGGTATATTTCTTTTTGCAGTATGTATCATCCACGCATAAGATTGCAGAAAGAATGTAATATACCTATTAGTGATGGCAAAAAAAAAAAAAAGATTCTTTATTAAATTTTAATATATGGTACAAACATCCATAATCAAAATACTAAATTCGAAAAAATACTAAATTCGACTTTAAAGAGCTATTTTCTTGTAGTAGCTATAGTTGGTGGTAGAATTACTGAATTACGGCAATTACGGCATTTTACCAGTGGTAGAATTAATTACAGCATAGCATCTAATTGCCGTAAAAATTATATGCCGTAATGTCATAATGCCGTAATGCCGCAATAACACAATATTGTAATGCAATACCGTAACTGCAGTATAATATCAGATATATATCTGATATAATTAAGTAACTACGTCACTCCAAACCGGAAACGCAATTGAACCTAGGTGCCGCGGCAGATCCTCGATTTTAATTGGCTAAGAGCGACGATCAAAAATTAGGCCGGAATTACTCATAATTTTACTAAT